CACATGGTTTGGTTTTTGTCATAGCATCACACAGATCTTGAACAGATTCCTCTGCCCATTTCTCGAGTCTGCACATGATCTCTGACATCTCTGCCAGATGTTACCATACGTGCACATGCATCTGTATTAATGGCTGTACTGGACTCAGCAGGGGCCTGTTCTCTGAGTGTCAGCGTATTAGGTCATTTGCTTCTCCTCGTTTAATTGCAGGCTAGAGCTAGTGCCATAACGTAACCCAAGTCTAGTCTCAGAGATAGTAAGAACTGCAGATGCTGGAGCCAGAGATAACACAGTGTGGAGCTGAAGGAACACAGCAGGCCAGGCAGCATCAGAGGAGCAGGAAAGTTGACGTTTCAGGTCAGGACCTTTCTTCAGAAAAAAGTTTCTGAAACGTCAACTTTCCTGCTCCTCTGATGCTGCCTGGCCTGCTGTGTTCCTCCAGCTCCAGTTCCTCCACTCCAAGTCTAGTCTCAATGGATTTCCTGAGGTGAATTCTCTGGGCTGATGAAGAGCAGGGAGGAAGACCTTGATGATGCGTCTTTTTAAAGCTTGTGACTCAGAGATTCCACCCTTACCCAAAGTTTCTTTAATACATTGATACTTGATATGCAGCTGGGAGGAGTAGATTGGATCTCCATAGCCATCTCACTAGATGGCTATGGAGATCCAATTTTCCCTTCAGAACAGGTACATTCTCTTGCTCCGCTGCCAAGTTAACTGATCTGCACCTTGAATGGAGTTAGAAGCCTTGTGTCAGGTAACCCCCACCAAACCTCATTCCTGGGTGGGTACATTCCAACTTATTTTGCATGTTTTTTTCCAGCGTGGCTACCTCAACACAATGCCAGCTTTAATAGATACAGATAGTGACGTCAATCCGCAGAACTGTGCTTGCCTGTGTGCATTACGAATAAGAAAATGTAGTGTGAAGGAAGTTCAGTACTAAAGGCCTAATGAATGAAAGGTACTTCAGCATCATCAAAGAGTTGATGAAAACTCATAAGACATTGTGATGCATGTGCATGAGATACCTGTAAGGTGTTCACCCTGAAGCTTGTTTTGCGTTATGTTCCTCTAGCCTTTGGTGAAAAGTTATCAGATGTTTCTGTTCACATAGTTGTGATGAAAGGTCAGTGAGCTGATGGTGTGTGAGATGCTGAGTGTTGTATCTCCTTTTATGTTTTAAATATGAACCCTGTCAGAAGTATAGGAGCCAAAGCCACTGTGTACAAATTGTGCTACACTGGTAGCAGTGGTAAACTGAGACCCATTGATTACACGTGAGGCAGAATTTCTTGCCTGACTGTCCATAAAATGGATCAATCCAGCAAATGCCCATATTGTGGAGGGCAGAAACCCACAGCAATGTGGGACATCATGTCTGAGCTGTATTGCATGGCATCACAGTCCAGTCCAGGCATCAGGACCTCATCTTTGGGAGCCTATGATCTGTTCAACAAAGGCCCTGGATGAACTGTGGGCAGCATTGTACAATTGCTGTACAGCAATCTAAGGATCTCTTAGATGTCATGATCCGGGTTAAGAGGGGATAGCCTTTGTTTGCCAACAAGCATCCTTGTATGGGCAAAAGGCCATGGGAAATAGGCTAGCAACTGTGAATACTCCAATATGTAAGAGTTGTGATAGCTCCCAGGATATCTTGTGCAAACCTCCAAAATCTGTTATTGTTACAAATGTATGCATGTTAATGGAGTGCAAAGCTTTTCTGTTCCTGAACACTGTTGGTTAGTGATATGGTGCTCTCAATGCTATGTAGATACAATCCTGCACCAGTGGGAAGTCGGTGATGGCTGAGAATCTGAATGCCTTAGATGTTTGACTGGTCACATTAAGGAAGAAAGGGAGAAAGAAATGAAAAGTTGGGCTCTGGCAAACATTGCACCAGTGGCATCCCATGATGCATTTAAGTGTCAAAATTTGGGATACAAAAGGCCAATCCCCAATTGTGAGCAAGCCTACAGACTTGATGGCATGAAAGCCCTCAGTCGTCTTTGTGTATACCTTGTAATGTATTAAATTTTTTGACTTTTTTCCTTACTGCGCCCAACAAGTTTTATTGGGATTGTGAGATAACAAGGTGTAGAGCTGGATGAACACAGCAGGCCAAGCAGCATCAGAGGAGCAGGAAAGCTGATGTTTCAGGTCAGGACCCTTCTTCAGAATTTTCTGAATATCCTGAAGAAGGGTCCCGATCCGAAACGTCAACTTTCTTGCTCCTCTGA